TTAGGGCTTCTTAGTTTGTACTCTTTAATTTTGTTTTCTCAATTTTTGTGGCTATTATGATAAAAGTTTAGATAGAGAGGAAATCGTGGGTTTTTTTTTCAGATTAGAAAGTTTCAAAAAATTTATATTTTCTTCGATTGTTGTTATGTTTTGATTTATAAATTTAGATTACGTTTTGTTTGGTTAAAAGAATTTTAAGCAGTTCCCTCTCATTCTCTCAAGATATGGGCACGTCGTCTTTTATTTTTTTAATATTAAAATTTTGGTATACGAAAAGAGGATCTGGAGTATTTTGATTGCATCATACACTCTCATATTCAAGAAAAACTGCTCCTATGTAACGACACAAGTAAGTGGGGAGCTCAGATATAGCGTCACATGTGTATTTTTTTTTAAAACAGTTAACACTAATTTAATGATTCTAAAGCAATAATATTAACATTGTACTACATAATCGGGCACATGAATATCAGCTGCGTTCAAACATTCCAAATTATCTAACCAATACAATCATCAGTAAATTCCAAGTGTATTCAAGGCTTTTTTTTTACAAATGGTGAAACTTTTATTTGAAACCATGTATTTGTTTATGCAGGTATAGGATCACTATAAATCCGTAGAACCACAAAATGATTTTATCTGATCATTCATTGGATGAACCGGAGTTGGAAACATAAAACATTAACAATAACACTCAACATTTAGGAAGCAACATATGGATGGGAAATAACGAAAGGAAGAAGAGCAACACTCAAAATTCATTACCTAATGCTCTATTGGATGGTAATTCAGTTTTATGAGGTAAAAAAAAGGTTTGTTGTTCTGTTCCTTATGTTATCAAGCCTAGAAATGATGTTTTTATCATGTTTTTTTGGAACAATTATGAATCACAGTTGTCTGCACTCTGTTTGCAAGAAATGTGGAGTAATTTGGAGAATAAAACACGGAGATGGAGCTATTCGCGTTATGAAGACATTCTACAAATTGAAGATGACATTTGGGGAACAAAACATAGAGAATGAGGTTAACAAAATGCTTTCTTATGCAATCGAACTTTTTAAAGGGTATATTTGTCATTTTCCGTATGCTATCTCATTCTCCTTTCTTTGTACATTCCATCAGATGAGTTTGAAGCTAATGTGGATTTTTTATTGAGCAGGAGGATATAGGTTCCAAAAGTGAGGGCAAATCAACAAAGGTAACATTTTTATTTTCATTATACCTTTCATCAACCACTCATTTAGCCATTGTAATATAAAACTATTGAATGACTTTTTATTTTATTAACTTTTACTTTAAAAATAAAAAATAAAAGTTACTGCTTTAGTATGACATGGGTATTAGTTAATAAAAAGAAAAAAATTAAATGATGATGCTTTTAACCATTGAAAACTGAAAAATGTTGTATTGAAAGCTTAGATGATTTGTTGTCTTATATAGAGTAGAGTAGAGTGGAAAAGAATTGAAGCGAATAATTTCAGACGAGACCTTTTTCCAGATTCTAAGCAATAGATGCTAAAACACTATAATTATATTATTGATATATACAAATTAATTGGATAGATAGATAGATTTTTCTCCCATTAACTCGACAACCTAAATTTCAAATAACCAGTTATTAATGCCAAGATATTAGAAATTAAATATACTATATATCCGACCAATTAATTTGTTTAGTTTGTTATACATAAAAATACATTAAAAACAATGATTTTGACTATTTTAACCAAGGTTGTACAAATCAGGATTAATCGTTTTGACATTCTCCAACCGACTAAGATTAGGGGTGTTTGGCGAAAATTGATCAATTTCGGTCAACGACGGGCTTTGCGGTCAACGACGGTCAACCAAAATCAAAATTAGTCAATGGTTAAAGATGGTCAAAGTAAAAAAAAGAAAAAAAAAAAAAGCTACAAAAATGATCTAACCCTAATTCTCGTCTTATTCCAATATTCCGTCCGCCGTTTTCTTTGCTTTCTCTCTTAAACGAGAAGCGTGCCTACCAGCGACGCACAAAGCATACACCGGCGAGACGCACAACGGAAGCCGATGCCCAGCATACTCCGGCGACACGTGAAGTATTAAACGCAAGTTGATATGTGAAGTCTATCCTTTGTCGCTACATTCTTGTTTCTGATTTTAAGATCTTTTTCTTTTCTAGCTATAACATGATTTCTGACATTTGATTCAGTTGCTGAACATCCGTTCTTGAATAACCTAAAATTGAGATCGTATGTTAGGCATGTGTCTCAGACTCTCAGGAAGTCGAAAATTAGATGTATGCGTGAAAGGATAATGTATGTCAGCTCTTATTTGGATAATTTAAGGAATATTATCTGTTATGAGAGTAATTTGTCCCGAATTTTGTAATTGGTCGTGTGGAGCTGTAACATTGTGAATATTTATGGTTCCAGTTCCATCTCTATTTTGCAACATTATGTTTGTTAATTTTGTGTGATTTCATTCCCCAACTGAGAGAGAAATAGAGATATAGAAAGCAAAAGATGGTTGTAATAATCTTATTTAATATGTTCTCTCTCTCAAGTTGGAAGGAACAAAGTATTTTGTTTTAGGTATTAGTTTTTCAAGTATAAGCTAATAGTTTTTCAAGTATAAGCTTCATGTTTATATTAGATTAAAAAGAAAAGTTAAAAAAAGTTAATTCTCTCTTTCTCCATTTACATCAAATAGGTCTTTTGAAACATGAAAAAACATTCTTTTGCTTGCTTGAAGCCGTATGAAGGAAAATCATGATGATTATTGTTACAACTGCACTTGTTTTTATCTGTTAGTTGCTATAAATTCAATCTTCGATTCCTATTAAACTTGTAATGGTGCTCTTTTGTATGCTAGAAATGGTCAACCTTTATAGCATTTTTCTTTGCAGGATCTTACAAGATGTCATTCTTGAGTTTAACCACAACAACCCCGTCTACGGGATCAACTGTAGTACAAGAGAATCTTAATCACAAACAACTCACAGATTTATGTTTTAAAAAACAGATAAGGGTAGATGAAAAAGGGATTTATAAAATATGTTAAGATAGATAAGGGTAAATGTGTAATTGTTGTGTTTTTGTTGCAGGTCTAACACAATTGGTGTCTCTAAACTTATCAACTTCTCAAGTAACAAGTGAAGGATTGCAGCATCTAAAACCATTGAAGAAGTTAAAATCTCTGAGATTAGTGTCCATTAAAGTGACTGCAAATGATATAAAACAACTCCAGGAATTTGACCTTCAAATCTGGTAACCTTTTGTCCTGAGTAAGCATTCATGGATTTACTTGATTACTTTATTATTATCTTTTTATGGTAAAATTCTCATTTGCAGTCACAATTTCCTGGACCATACAATTAACAATAATTAACAATTCTCATCGACCAAATTGTTAATCGTGCACCATACAATTAACGATAATATATTATATTTGTGTTATTAAGTGGACAATTATCAAAATAATTTAAGCATTCATACAATGCGAATAATACTAAGCACTTACAATCAACAATTACCTTATGATTTTCATTTGAGGGTTGTGTGATGACTGCCTGATTCGTTACTACTTCCATCAACATTGTCACAGCCATTACATTCTACCTCAAGTAATTTCATTTTAAATTATTTTTTTTGATTCGTCGTTTTTATTTGAACTTGTAATTTCTACTTTTATTATTAAAAAAAAAGGCAAAATACAAAGAGACGAAACACACTTCACCATTTTAGCAAGCAAATGAGTTTATTTCATCTCAAGTTTGGATTTCGGGTGGTTTTTTTGGTATTTTAATCTCTTGTTTTGTATTTACATCTTTCAAAGAATATTTCTGTCAACTATTATTAAATTCAGTTAAGTATTGGTTGATGAAAAACAAGTTACACATAAAAATAAAAGTAAATTGCTATTTATTGCATTTAGCCAAATCTTGAGCTATAAATAAATAGCAACATACTTCCATTTTTATGGTTTATAAATATATTATAATTAAAAATATTAAAGAGTAAATAATGTTTAATATAAAGACAACGTAGACAACAACAAAAACATATTATATTGTTTTTTTTTTCATTTTAAATTGTCTAAATTAAGGAAAAGAAAAAAAAAGGTACGGATGACCAAATTGATCAAAACAATACAAAAAATGGTCAAAATGATCAAATTGACCACAATAGTCATTTTCACTAAAATCTTCTACTTTGTGTTTTCAGTTTTCGTATCACTGTCCAAAAGCACAATTTCAAGTTCAATGTCGATCCCAAATTGTCTCAACTGTAGAATTTATTTTAATTGCTAAACGGTAGAATTTATTTTAATTGCTAAACGGCCAGGGTTAGCATCCTTTTTACAGTCAAAACCACCCCTGGTATCTGCAAGTTTTTCCACCTATAAGATCACGTTTAAAAAACATATTAATAACATTTTATATAAAAGAAAAAAATATACCTACAAAAGCACGTTTAAAAACATATTGGCCAAAATCAATACCATTTGTTTTATCTTTGATGAATTTTCTCATGTCCCTTGACTCGTTATGAGAATTAGATCATTTGCAACTAAAAAAAATTATGATATATTATAAACAAAACTTTTAAATATTATTTGTTAACAAAAATACTTACTTCCCGTCCTTGACAATAGCACCAGCAACAACTTTATTATTATAATTGCATTTTCCATCTTCTGACAGGGTAGGTCACCACTAAGAGTTGAAGCTGTGTCTGAAATCTCATTTCTACATAAAATAAACATTTGACAAATTTAAATACAAAAATATCAAATAAATTAAAAAAAATAGAATTTACTTACATGATCTTAAATACTTCAAAACTGTCTCTATCAAGTAGCTTCGTAGTGATTTTTTTTTGCTGCAAACAAAAAGAATGTATTAGAAATGACAGCAAGACGGTTAGACAACTTAGGAGGAAGATATAAGAAAGGTGTAAGATGAACAAGGAATCAACAAGCAGCAAGGGCACAGGAAGAGATGAGGGTCATGCAAAGAGATGCTAAAGATGAAAACAAAGATGCTAGAGATGTTGAAGAAGTTGGACCAACTTTGTATTGAATCTCATCGACTGACTTTCATCCATGTTGCTAACCTAGATGAGATTCAATATAGAGTTAGTCCAACTTCTTCAACATCTCTAGCATCTCTTTGCATGACCCTCATCTTTTCTTGTGCCCTTGCTGCTTGTTGATTCCTTGTTCATCTTGTACATTTCTCATAGTTTCCTCCTAAGCTGTCTAACCATCTTGCTGTCATATCTCATGCATTCTTTTTGTTTGCATTAAAAAAAAATCTCTACAAAGCTACTTGATAGAAAGTTTTGAACTATTTAGGATTGTCTAAGTAAATTCTGTTTTTTTATTTGTTTTTTAATTTTTTTGATATTTTTGTATTTAAATTTGTCTAATGTTTAATTTATATAGAAATGAAATTTTGGACACAACTTCAACTCTTACTCGTGACCTACACTGTCGGAAGACGGAAAATGCAATTATAAGAACAAAGTTGTTGCCGGTGCTATTGTCAACGACGAGAAGTAAGTATTTTTGTTAATAAATAATATGTAAAAGTTTTGTTTATAATATATCATAATTTTTTTTAGTTGCAAAGGATCTAATTCTCATAACGGGCCAAGAGACAACAGAAAATTCATCAAAGATAAAACAAAAAACATTGCTTTTGGCCAATATATTTTTTAAATTTGCTTTTGTAGGTATACTTTTTTTTTTCTTTTGTATAAAATGTTATTAATATGTTTTATCAATGTGATCTTGTAGGTGGAAAAACTTGCAGATACAAGGGGTTTTGACTGTAAAGTGGATGCTACCGCTGACCGTTTAGCAATTAAGATAAATTCTGCAGTTGAGACAACTTAGAATCGACATTGAGTTTGAAGTTGTTATTTTGGACAATGATACGAAAATTGAAGACACAAAGTAAAAGATTTTAATAAAAATGACTATTGTGGTGATTTTGACCTTTTTTGTATTGTTTTGATCATCCGTACTTTTTTTTTTTGTATTCCTTAATTTGAACCATTTAAAATGAAAAAAAACCAATATAATATGTTTTCGTTGTTATCTACGCTGTCTTTATATTAAATATTATTTACTATTTTTTATATTTTTAATTATAATATGCTTATAAACCATAAAAATGCAAGTATGTTGTTATTATTGTATATAGCTTAAGATTTGGCTAAAAGTAATGTGTAACTTGTTTTTCATCAACCAATACTTAACTGAATTTAATAACAGTTGATAGAAATATTTTATGAAAGATGTAAATACGAAGCAAAAGATTAAAATACCAAAAGAACCACCTAAAATCCAAACTGGAGATGAAATAAACTAATTTGCTTGCTAAAATGGTGAAGTGCGTTTTGTCTCTTTGTATTTTGTCTTTTTTTTTTTTTGAAAATCTATAACCTGGAAAACTCATCATTTTTAACAATATTAGATACCATCAGATCTCTACTATTCTACAAGAACATGAAATGATTAAAAAATAGAGATTTCACAGTCCACATACCTTTGTCAAAATCATGAAAGTCATAACCATACAAAATTACCATGTTCTCCATCAGTATTGTATTTAGCCTACTGAAAGACACAACATTCTCAATTTTATAAAAGGTAAACGATTTCAATAAAAATTAGTTGTAATATAATAATATTTACGACAAAATTGCAAAAATGTTACCTGTGGTTGACAATTTTGTGTTTTTGGTCCAAAATTTTTTGGAGGTGCACCAATGGTCCAAAATTGAATCTTTTTATTGGTTTTTGTCACTGTGCACTTAAAAGGACGATTATGTTCTTATAATTTGTATTTTTTGTTTTCTTTAACTGCTAATACATAAATCAATTTAATTTACATTTTTTAACTTAAAACAAAAAAGGCCCACCCACCCCATTTCTCTCCCCCCCCCCCAAATCTCTCACTCTCTCAACAAAACACACACACACACACACACACACAAGAAACATATCATCCTAATGGCCGCCACCATCACCACTGATTGCTACCACTGTCCGCCACCATTACCAACGTCCACCACAAACATCCAATACCACCCTCACCCCCATCTTTCCTTCCTTGTACCGATAAAAACTCCCCACTGGTACTACCTTTCTTATCAGAGTTTTCCCAACCCAAATGTCGCCGCCACCATCTTTCGGCAATTAGGGTTTTCACCTGCCAACACTACGACCGCCAGGCACCGCCATGGTGCTGCCGAGCACCAACAAAAACACATCTCTCTTCCCCCTCTTCCTTGTCACCCGACGAACGACCACCCCACCACTTATACCACCATCGCCATAGTTTATTTGCAGATCTGGAGCACCACCATTTTTTAAGTCATCGCCAGAACTAGTATTTTTAGCCTTCGTAACCGCAAAACATAAAGGGGGTTTCGTTTATAGGTAAGAACACCACCACAACCTATGGTCGCCTCCATTCCACCCCTGGCCACCTGTTCTAGCCGAAAACACCATGACCACCGAGACATCCCTCTACCAATAGCTATCGTATGTGGAACGGAAACAATCTGGTGGCTAGGGTTTGTGTAATGGAAAACATCATCGCCAGTCTCGTTTGTAGATCTTGAACAAAGGGGCGGCAACGAAAGGATGACGACGACGACAGATGGCGCTACAGAACCCTTATGGCATTACATTTATGCTACTAGAGAAGACGAAGGGACAAAACCCTTTATACTTGATCATCGGTTCATAAGTTGCAGCTTTTGGTGCCTTTAAAGGAACTCTAGGGAAAGGAAACCAAGATAAGGTCTTTTAGGGTAAGGTTAGGAGTAATTTTTTTTTTGAGAAATTGGTGTTTACGAGAAGGAACTTTCTTCCTGATAAGAAGAAACACAAAGCTGAGGTTGATTGCAAGGATATAAAATTCCAAATGATACCTACTTTAGTTAGGGGTATTATGGGAAACTCATAAAACATAAAGATAACAAAACCAAGTTGTGTGGTAGGAAGAACTTCATTATGTGCAACTGTGAGGAAATGCATATTGAGTGGCTTGGTCAATTACTAAGAAATGAAGTCGGTACATTAATTATAAGCTTCGAAATTCAAAAACAGGGGTTTCATTTATTTATTCTATTTAACATTGTGACATGTACTCTTTTGAAGTACTTGCTCAACGAATTTCTAATTTTCACGTGATTAATCCAAATACGATGTATCGGTCAAGATGGTGGTATGGTGGTAGTGTGACGATGATCCTTAGGTACTTGTACTCACATAAATGCCCCAACTCTTAATGTAAATGGATTTAGAGAAATAGTGAGTCTTAGAGTTGAGGGTGATTTTAAAATTGGAGTTGTTTGACCTTATGATGGCTGCAAAAGGTGCAGATGGGTATGGATTTTACAAGGTTGATATTAAATCCACCATCATCATAATGTTGGTAGTCGATGCCAATAATTTTTTTTAAGTTTAGTGACTTTGGGAATGTTATGTTTGTTGGGAAGAACGATACCACACTGTACCCCGTAATTCGCCTTTTTTGCTCCCCTGAAATAATTAGAGTTGGCTTGCGATTATCTTGTTGGTTAGTGTATATTGTTTGTTGGAGCTTTATAATGGGGATGTTTTGTTTTCCAGTGCTACTACAAACAATGATATGCTTCACCTTAACATGGAACTCATGGAACTCGTATTATTAGCAGCAACGAGATTTATTGTGTGGCATGTTGCTAATACCCTTCCTGATGACAAATAGGAGGGGGCAGAAGTGTAAGATTTTGTAGATCAAAGGAAGAAAATTGAGGAAATCCTACACAAATGGAAGTGTGTTGTTAGGGTAGTGAAGAACCTATGGGAGGACCCAGTGTCTAAGTATTTGCCCTCATTTGTGATTAATGATGAGAATGGGAAGGTTGTTGGTACCATTGTTGATGTTACTAATAACATGAATGTGGTGACATATTATCGGGAGCATGTGTCATCTATGGCAAATACTTCCCTCACATAGATATAGTAGAGCAAGTGGGTGTTATATATGTGGTGATCGTTTTGGTGATTGTAGATTGTGGTGATGTCGTAGATCAAGAGGTCTCCTAGAAGAATTTGGATGCTATACATCATTTTAATTCACCGTGAGGACAATGTGAAAGTTGGGGCCGCCAATATTGATAATCCCCTAATTGAGTTTATAGCAAGTAGGACAAAAGCCGAAAGAGTGACATCGGATTCATTCATGTTAGCCCAATTGTGGGTAGCCTACTTCTTGTCTTGCTAAAAGGGATTAAGTAAGTTTGCTTATATTGCATGCTTTATCAGTAATAATAGTACTATGTTAGCAAGGGTAGCATTAGTGTCGTCTGGTATGCTAATCTATGATTATTATCTACCTTTATGAGTGATTGTTGCCTTGGAAATCTGTTAGTTCTTATGAGATTTATGGAGGGTCTATCAATGGTTCGTTATTGACTAAAACCAAAAATGAACAAAAAAATTGGTTTTTTTTTTTTTAAGTTTTGGAAATACCAAAAAAAAAAATTTGCTTTAGGTTTCTTGTTTTCCTATAAAGTTTTAGGGTTGCAGTGTTACTATAGCCATATACATTGTTAATAAACTATCATCATCATGCTTAAATTTCAGTACACTTCATGAATATCTTTACAAAATTATTATATCATACTTTCGTATTAAACTCATAGGTAGTTAATAGATTTTGCAAAAAAACTTAAATCGTACGAAAAAACAAAATTACAAGGGAAAAAAGGTCCCATAACAAAAACAAAAAATCAAACCGTTTTAGAAAACCAACACTCTCGTTTTTGATTTTTTTAAAAACATAATTCTTTCAGTTTAATGTGGTTTCTTATATAAAAAGAGCGGGAAAAAACGAAATACCAAAATTTATGTTGTATTCTAAAACCGAAAATTTAAAAGTGAAAAAACTAAAAACTCAAAGTCAAAAACTAATTTTTTTTGGCTCGGCATTGGTTTTAGTAATCAATCTATTTCACATCTAGTGGTTAACAAACTTTCGCCCATCAAACAAAATAATTATTAAAAGGTAAATATTTGAATCTTCTTCAAGATAATAATTTGGTTTTAGTAATTGATCCATATCTTATACACTTGAGCACAATAACTTTCACGGGAGTCGACTTCTAGCATTTTAATCCATCAAATATTAATCAAACAAAACTGATATAAGAAGATAATAATTGGTGATTATAAAACAAGTCATAATATGCATACCGTTTTTTCAATTTCCATCCACTTTTCTACAAGTCTGCGGGTGCTCAACGATGAGAAACTAGATCCAAAACGACAAATGGCTTTTGAAACATTTGTCAAGGCCTGATCTAGGTCCTTTGTTCTATCTAGGTTTATTGGTCTGAGAAAACAATCAATAGAACTTTATTATACATAAGATTCCTTTTATATCAGTACAAAATCGGATTAAGCAAGCATCTCAGTACAAAATTAAATTCATCCCACTAGTGGGTCATTCACATTGACAGGTTAAAGAACCCAAGAGAAATCAAATTAGGGTGGAGATTCACGTGTCAAGAAAGAAATCGAGAGCCTGAAAGGTAATAAGTGAGAAGTGAAATGGTACTTACCATGGTGCGTTTGAGAGAAGCGAGAAATCAAACAAAAGTCAAAATCAAGGGAGTCGTGTTCTTTCAGTCGAGGACTTAGGGTTCCTGCCTCCTCTTCCTCGTCGTGACTGAAACCTGCGAAGTGAAGGGTAATGCTAAAAAAACTCCAATGAGGGTTTTTAATACATATTTTTTCAGGAAAGGGTAAAGTGAAGATTGTTTCAGAGAAAAATGATGATTTGAATCCAAAGCTGATTGAAGAAGAGATTGAAAAACAAAAGAAAAGAGACGATAATCTCACTGCTTTAAAAGCAAAATGGGATGCTGAAGAAGCTAAAGTTAAGAATGAAAAGGAGGTTCAATACAAAGATCATTATCTCTCACCTTGTATCTCTTTCACTCACAACAACTTCCGATCTCTTGAA